TCTCCGCTTCCATTTGATATTTTTTCAACTTGCCTTTAATCCTCAATCCTTGCTATCTATATTCCATTTGAGTCAACAATTGATCTTCCAAATCTTTGATTTCTTGAGCGAAATCAAAGCTAAAGGTTCTAACCCCTTTATTTCTTCAAATTCATTATCCTATTGTTGGAGTTGTTGAATTCTCTGAAGCAAAATTAAAATGTCTTTGTGAGGTAAGGAGTTTATAATATTCATTACATTTACGACCTATAAACGCTAGGTCATTGTTGAACCACTCTATATTATCTTGGATGAGGTCCCGCTGGTTACGCCAGAAGATCCATACATCCTTGAGAAAGGAAATAAAGTTTTTATTTCTCAAATGAGATGTATTAGGTTTATAAAATCCTTTACCTTGATCAGGTTTTTTTTTCTGAAAGTTAAAAGTGCAGCACACATAGCATGATCTAAACTAAGAAATGGGTTTTCTGGGAAGATCTCAACAAACTGAATAGCCCCTTGTAATTTTTCAGTTATTAAAATAAGATCAATGCGAGATTTAGACCCCCTCTCAAATTGACCTTTCCTGAAACAGGAAAATAACCACTTTGTAGGGTTAAGTCGTCTATAGGAATCGAATAAATTGAGGGACTGACATAGACTATTTATTATTATCTCATCTGATTCTATGTACGCAAGGCATGGGAATGAAATATGTAATTGATCCAGACAACGATTCGGTGCTGCATTAAAATCTCCAGCCATAATAACTGGAATCCCTTGTGGCAAGTTAGGAAGAGAGGACTCATAAAATCTATGTCTTTCACCAATTTCATTAGGTCCATATACACATAGGATACATACCACCTCCAATTCAAACATTACTAGCACTAAGGCCCATCTCCCTTGCTCCTTATCTACCTCCGCATAAATGGGATCTGCTATGGAATTTGGGGGAATCCAAATTGCTACCCCCACACTACCAGGTCTAAGTGCATGGGCTCTAAAGGTTTGGTGTGACCATAATATCTTATGTGTATGATTGTAGGCCTCTGTATCCATCAGATGAGTCTCTTGGATACAGATTATATCAGGGCAGTCTCTTCCCCCTATACCTTTTAACTGATCGTACATTGCCTATTTTTTTGTATGTTGGGCTGATGCTAGACCATTAACATTCAACAACCGCAGATCCAAATTTGCATTCCTTCTCAGAGATCTTAATTCCTTATCCTTATTATATAATGCATCTGTAACTTTAATTTCATCCATTATAAGAGTTGTTGTTGTTGTTGATATTGGTGTCCTGTGCAGATGCCATCGTCTTAATCGTAGGCTCTATCGGTATAATTGATGTCGCTAATGTTATCGTCGTGAGCGTCATAGATGTTGATGTAATCATCGCCACATCAGTAGTTGTCGTTGTTGCAATCGTTGTTGCAGCCGTCGCAGTCTGTCGCGGACACTTGTCATCATACTCGACGAGCCCCTCTTGTGCACGCTCTTCCAACGTCGTTCGCAGGTCATGAGCCTCGTCAAAAAGTGCATAATATCTCTCCATCAAGATATCCACTTGCCCCCAGTTAATGAAAGTGTCCAAACACGGGTCTGGCCCCTCCTTAGCTTCCCAGATGATTTCCATAATGGACTGAGTCATGTCCTTCACCCATTGCTCCAGTCCCGAGGCCGCTCCCCCATATTCTAAACATTGGGTGGGATAGGATAAAACACAATGGAATTCGAACAGAAAGAAGATGACAAAAGTTTTACTGTCAAGGCATAATCACCTTCCTCCCCACTTCACTTCAACGCACACTGTCAAAGTTCTCAACCCTTCTACTCTTACCTTACTCAACACTTCAACGCACACTGACAAAAWAAAAATRCAAAACGAGGAAGAAGATGAAGAARAAGAAWAARAARAAAAARAAGAAGACGAARAARAAWAWGAARAARAARAARAARAARAARAAAAAAAAAAAAAAAAAAAAAAARAAGAAGTTAACGCACATACATAGGGACATACTCACCCAGGGGTCGCAAATAGAAAACTTTTGCAGCCTTTGCTACTCCCTGTTTATCATTTTGCTGCGTTGCCCAATCACACAGGGGTAGCGAACAAGAAAAGACAATGCCTCTACTTCCCGCCATTTGCGAAATTGCCCAGTTGTGCGGTCAAACAACAAATTGGGAAAGACAATATCCCTACTCCCTGCCAAATGTAGTCGAGGGATGCCTGCAATTCTCTTATCTAAGCTCACGGATTCCCAAAGAAAGAAAAAATCGCCAACACTTCTCCAGGTGGTAGCAAATTGCTCAACCCCGTGGCCCAGCAGGCCTCTGAGATTTGCCACACCAATTGCGAATTTGATGGGGGGGCGCTGGGGTGGTAAGAAATACCCCAAAAAACACTATTATATTAGCAAATTTTGCTATAATTTTACCAAAATAGCCTCTAGTGTGAGAAGGCCCTTTGACTAGTGCTCCACATACTTACTTCGAGGAAATTTCTTGAATTGAATGCCATTGGGGATCCATGCTTATTAGCAATGTTCTACATCTACAGTACCGTGGGCTCTCAAGCAAGAATCTCAATTCAGTTATGGCGGGTGCCTTCCCAGACCTTCTTCAACTTCCTCAAACTCGAGAAATAAAAGAGGGTGCTCTCCAATGCTCCTCAAAGTAGAGAAATAAAACAGGGCACTCTCCAGCCTAAGGGTTTTGCTCCACCGTATTTCGGGCTCCATTGCTTTTCACTTAAACCACCAGTACTTCCTGAAGTCATGCCCGTTGACCTCGGCCTCCTGCTGCTGGAGAGAATCACCACCTGTTGGCACACTGGTCCCCGTTCGTGACCCACCTTTTTTCGTACACGAGGCTGAATCTCCTTATGTTGGCTTGGAGAGCCAGATGCTCATTTGAAAGAAAGGACCTGTTGAAGAGCGGATCAGGTCCAAGACCCAGGAAGCATGGAAAAGCATGAAGCGTGATTTCTTCGAGGAGAAAGACCCTCCCATCAAGAAGGTCATTTGAGACTCCTATATGCAGATTTGGCAGGAACCTAACAATCTGTTTTCGGAACTTGAGACCGCTCTTGATATCACATGGAAACCATGGAGGAGAACGGAACCTTGTTCAACTTGGCAGAGGAAACCCTTTAGTGACTTCCAGGTCCCGTACCTCCAGCCCAACTTCGTCCTCCTCCCAAGCCCTGTGCCGCCTTCCCAGCCACTCCCCC